AACTCAAGAATTGAGTTTCTTTCCAAAGTCCCAGTCCAACTGTCCCAGATTGCCCCTACTTTTTCTTACCACTCTCCGTTCCCTCTTTATCCTTCCCCAAGCCAGGCTGCCTTTTTTTTTTTTTTCCCATAACTGACCTTTGAGACTCAGGCTGCACAGATTATTTGCTAAATCAGCAGGATCAGCTGCTGTTTTTTGGCTTGGTCCTGGGCCAAGGGGAAAATGTGCCAGGGTGGCTTTATGAGGCCTTGTGGTGTTGTCTGTGCAGGTCTGGGAAGGGCTGGAGAATGTAGAAGGAAAGACTATGGTGGAGCAAGGCATGAGGGTTTCCCAGAGGCTGGAAAATGACTTGCTTCTGGAAACTTGTGCTCTTTTTTTTAATGAAAAGAAAGGAAGAGCAGGAATCTAGGAGCTTGGAGAGGTAGAAGATAACAATCTTCACAAACATCTATTCTGTACCAGCTTCCAGGTATGAGCAGAAATATATTCACACTTCCTCCTACCAACAAGTCTTCATTCTGAGCTCATTTTCCAACTTAGTGGTGAGGAGTCCTGTCTTTGGTGGGTATAGGAGAAGGAAAAGGGGCAGTTTGGGGAGCCTTGGCCTCAGCAATCAGGCCTTCAAGGCACAGGACAGACAGGGTCCCCATGTGCCAAGGTTTCCTTACCCACTAACATGTTCAGCTGGGAAGAAGAGGCTGTGAGGATGGATGATAACATGTGCACTGCAGACACCTTGAGCACTAGGTCTGTAGGGCTGCCTCCTGCCCAGCTCACCTTGGCTCTTGCTGTTGCCTGACATAAACCTTTACTTCAGCCAAGAAAGCCTTCTCTCTGGCTCTGAACCTGATGTATGCTTGCCCTTTTACCCTGTACTGTTCTGGGTGAGGGTATCTCTAAGAAGCTACAATATGCTTATACCTCTTCAGCTGTTTCTAGATATGTATCTCGTGGGTGTTGAACAAAGATTATGTCTTCTTTCCTATCTTTTCATTGTACAGAGTGCGGGATTTTGAATAGACTGGATACGTGATACATTTGCTTGACTAATGGATGGACCTTACCAGTATCTTACTAGCTTTTGCAGTGAGCCATTCCTGAGCTGCCATCTTCAAACAGAAAACCCTACCTCAGTAGCAGCACAGATACCTGTTCCAATCAGCATCTTAGACAATTTGAACCAGAAGACACACTGCAAGTTTTCAACCATCCCATCTTCATTTGGAGAGACTAAGGAGATCTGAAGATGATTCAAGATTTATTTATTGCAGGGATGGTGGTATAGCTTGGGTAGAGAGCTTGCCTCATACACATGAGGACTTGAGTTCAGTTTTTGGCACCTCCCCCCAAAAAAGAGCCATGATTCCTTTCCTGCTTGTAAGGTGAAGGGAGGGAGGAAAGAGATGACCCTGGGTAGCTTAAGTAGATGTAAAGGATAGAAGAAAGAAAAGATGAGGAGAAGTAAGTACTCAAGAGAGAGGGACAAAGGAGGGAGAGGAAAAAAGGGAAAAAGGAAAGGAGGAAAATGGTGAGAAAGAATGCAGTGAAAGAAAGGTTGGAAGGGAGAAGCCATTCAAACTTTGTAATCGTGTTGAATCACAGAGCTCAGAGTAGAAGCTGAATTTGAAGCATAGTGTAAAGCTCTCACCTAGCTTCCAGTAGTCATCTGCCTGCGGTCCTGGAAACCTGGCCAGACCCTGGCATCCGCAGACTCACAGTGCATGACTGACTAGATGGGCAAATGTGCTCAGGGAAGCAGGGCCATAGTGAAGCCAGCAGCATTAAACAAGGTCATGTGTTTCCATGGCAAGGGGCCTGTGCCAGGTCAGACTGAGACTTGGCGCAGCCAGAAAGGAGGCAATAATCAGTTCTGTAAATGCTGTGAGCCTTGATTTTAAAAACTAGGAGAAAGGGGCTGTGCTTGCTGCTTTCATGAAGAAGCACAAGCAGCAGGGGCCCGAGCTATCAGGGAGCATGCGAAGATTTTAACCCCTCAAGGGTTTTCTGCCACAGCATCTCTGTGCTCACCCATCTACACATTGTTTCATTAGCTTGGCTTCCAAGGCCAACCCCTCTGTATTTCCTACCTGAAGTAGGGGAAGAAAAGTCACCTATTACTGCAGACCAGCTGGTGATTTACTGCCCCAATATTTCCTCATTCTAGGTTCCCTGGGCTCCTGCTTCTTCTGGAACTGGTCAAGAAGAAGAGTTGGGGGTAGGGGACAATAAGAGACTATGTGGCCAAAATTGTGTCTAACACAGAGCCCAGCCCTTTAGAATCCTTTCCCATTCTTCAGTCACCTTGCTGGGCACATTCTCACTGTCTAATGAGGCCATAGCAGAATGAGAAAAGATATGCAACAAAAATTATGATTGGGAGTCTTCACTGCTGTCTCTTCTCCTGATTCAGCCTGCTCAGTGGAGAACTGATTCAGCAGGGAGCTCCCTGGAGAAATCCAGGGACAGGGCTGCCAGTTCTGCTCTTCTCCGTACCTCACCCTGTCCATCACCATCCCTTCCCGTCTGTTGGCTCTGTCCAGCCCTGAATTACGAAGAGTTGCACAGATATTGTGAATGGAGGCCATGTTAGAGAACAGGGTTGAGCCAAACATGGAGCCAGCAATGGTATTTCTTGAAGTTATGTGGGGGAAACATAGCCTAAAGTTAAGCAAAACAGTGGGGGAAGAAATGGGAGGTTTAGAAGGCAGTCAGTCAGGCAGAATGTGGATGATTTCACATCAGAGTAAGAGGGAAGAGGTAGGACAGGTAGATTCCTGCTCTCCAGGTCTCTGGGTATCAAGGCCTGGGAAGCAGAGGGAAATCTCAAGGTTTAAAGAAGCAAGGAGCTGCTAGGGTTGTCAACCTCTGTGTGCATGAAAGAACTTTGTGAGAGAGATTTCCAGTGACTTCCACTCTCTTCCACCATGCCGATTATTTCTTATTTTTGTTCTCTCTTGGGAAACAAAAGCAGGGCAGGGGAGAAGGAAAGATAAAGATGACACACGCTATTGACACATGACGCTGAAGAAGCATTTAAGTGATTCCTACATTTCTAAATTCTCCACAGGAACATTTGGACAGAAGGTATGCGCTCTCCAGGTCACTTTGGGAGCCACAGCAGTCTTTTATCAGGAAGAGTTATTCGGGGTTCTTTTGGGAAACTTCATGCCTTTCTTGCCCAAACAGACCCTCAAATTGCTGCCGAGATGGTGGGGACACAGTGAGAGAAAAGGGAATCACGACAGGGTCAGGTGCAGGCATTAACAGGAAGCCATAGCTGTCTCCCACAGAAATCGAATGAAACAGCTCATCTCCCCCATTCGAGGAAAAGGTCATAATATTTAGACGAATTCTACCTTTTCTGAACCATGGGCAATGTGGAAATCCTATCTTTCTGCTTTCTTTGCCAAATAAGGAAAAAAAAGCCTTGAAACTCAGAGGACAAATGAGCCATTGAGGGAATTGAGGAATAGAACTGCATCTTCTTGGAGTTTGAGTCAAATGTGTTAGACATGTCAAGCCAGATCATCTTTGATCTTCACCACTATTACAACCCCGCAGTTGTGTTAAAAGCTCTACGAGCTAACTTGCTCTGACCCACCTTTTCTAATTCCACAACATATGAGACAAGAAAATGTAAGGTTTAGCAGGGTGATGTTGGGGAGAACAATGGGTGTCCCCCAGCCATAAAGCACATTTGAGATTGAATAAAGATGAGATGCTTAGCTCTCCCTTCCTCTCCCAACTCTTCCATTCCTTTAGTATTGCCACTGCCAGGGCTGGGTGCTGGCCAAATGCTGGTTTCTCCAGGCAATTTTTCCTGGAGAAATTTCTGCAATTTTCCCATCACCTGTCTAATCAGAAAAGGAAAGCTAGCATGACCACAGCCTTCCTACCACAGAGCACTGAATACCCCAACCTCCTCTCATTTGTTCTTTTTATATTCCTAGTCCATGGGCCTCATGTGTGAAGAAAAAACTTGGGATCTGAGAATTGCTCGATGGAGGCAGTTAGCATTTCTCTTGAGACCCAATATAAGATTTCAGTTATTTCCAAATAGCCAAGGGGAAATAGGGCTTGCAATCATTAGCCATAGCAGAGATTTAAAGAGGCATTACATCCAAATAACTACTGTTTGCTAGCTAGTCCCCTGGTCATTTTTCCCTTTTCACGATTGCCAACCCCCCTGCACAGATATCCTCCTCAGGTCAGAAGGGAAAGCTATGATCAGGCTGAACTCCTGCACTATGACTGAGCCTTCCTTTGATTTGGTGGGTTGCTTCCTTGCACCCCTCACTGCAGGGATTCAGAAGAGAGGTGCCCACTCAGGCCAAAGAAGAGGAATCTTCCTCCAATGAGCCACTTCTGGCTTTGCCTCCCACTGCGCCAGTTAAAAAGCCAGATTTTCCCTCTGGAAAATGTTTTTCTCCCACCTTTATCTTCTTCTGTCTCTAGCTCTACTGCCTTTCCACTTTATCGTCTGCCTCCTAAATTCTCCGATCCCAATCTTACTCATTTTGGAACTACCCTCCCATTAAGGCCCTTTAAAGCTCTTGGCCAATCCTCTGCCTTTTTTCAGATCTCTCTCAATTTAAATAATTGTACTACTTAAATACCCTCTCAAAATTTCTCTAACTTAAATCTTTTAATATTCCTCTTTCCTTCAGTTTAATCATCATGCCAACTTGCTCTCAATTTGTCCCTTTTAATCCCTGCCAGTTCCCAGTATCCTCAATTACCTGACACCCATTTTTCTCCTTCTTTGCCACCAAAGATAAGCTGGATGAAAGAAGAACACAAAACCTTCTTCAGCACTGATAGCATTCTCTCTTTCCTCCGAATCTCCTTGACACACTTCTACCCTAAGGCATCTTTTCACCCCTTCACTTCACATTACCCTCGTCCTCCCGACTCTTACTCGCGCCCGATTTCCCCTCCTCACACCCACTGGGGTCTCCTCCTCCTGACACAATGGTCCTTATCTCCTCTTCCCCACTCACTCGGGTCTCCTGCTCAGGACGCCCTTGCCCAGGGCAGCCGAGGATTTGTGCTGTAGGAGAGCTCCGGCGGCAGCGCAACAACTCGGGGGACGCTCCTTCTCCTTGTCGGCCACGGCCCCAAGTGTCACCCGGTGCTGGTGGGGCGACTGGGGTGGGTGACCCCTGCTGGCCGGGCCGGGCTGGGGCTGCGCCGTGAGCTGTCCGTGGTGCTGAAGCGGAGGCTGCTCGGTTGAGGGCTGAGGGGCGGCGAGCGGCGGCTGTCCGTGGTCCTGGAGCTGCTCCTGGGCCGCGGCGACGGCGCCGCCGGCGGGGGCGGCGGGAGAGGCGGACGCAGGAGCTCGCAGCTGGGCTGACGACGGGGCCACGAGCCCGGGCGGAGGCTGGGCTTGCAGAAGCTGCTGGTGCTCCCACAGGCTGCGGTTCTCTGCGCTCAGCTCGTCCAGCCGCCGCTCCAGCTCGTCGATGCGCTGGCGCTGGGTGTGGATGAGGCTCTGCTGGTTCTGTACGATGGCCGTGAGCTCCTTCAGGTAGAGCACGGCGCGCACCGGGTTCTCCAGCAGGCTCTCCATGCCGCCCGCCGCCGCCTGCGCCCTGCCTGCGCCTCGGCGGTCGGCGGGGCTGGCGGGAGCCGAGCAGCCCCGGCGGCCGGCTGGCGTCCTCTCCGGCGGGCCCGGCCTCCCTCCCCTGCCCGCCGCCGGCGCCGCGTCACTGCCACACGGACATTCACACACGCACGAGGGGCGGGACCGCGGTGCCGGGCCCACCCACACTCCGCCTCTGGGCTTCCAGAGGAGGCCCTGCTTCCCGCTAGGCGGAGAGGGAAGGTGGGAAGAGAGGGCGGGAGGGAGAAAGACACAGAGACAGAGAATATGAACAGGGGCCTGGGGTGAGGGCCAGGATATAGGAAGAGGGAGACCCGAGAGTGATGAGAGAAATCCTCAGCGGTACTGGGAAAGTGTGGTGGCACTGATAGGAGAGAGGCAGACAAGGAAAGAGGAAAAGAAAAGGTGAAGCTGGGAGAAGGGGAAAGCATAAAGCAGGTGGTGAGGACAGAGGGAGAGAGAAGCGAGCTAACGAAGAGGAAAGCTGTGAACGCAGGAGGCTCAAGAATTCCTTTTGCTGTGTCCAGCCGTTCCAGAAGCTGGGGCCATCTTACAGACTTTCTGCCTCTCATCTTTTGTGTTCAACAATTTGTTCTGCTAGGGATTCCCAGGAACACAGGCTCTTGGGATTTAAGGGCCCCTAGAAAGCGTCTGAACCTGCTGCTTCATCCTGTATGGAGGAGCAAGGTGGGAAAGCTGTTCAGGTCACACTTTTTCTGGAAATGGGATCTCAGGACAGTTTGGGCCTGGTCTGACTTTGGAAGAAATTGTTCTGTTTGATAAATATTTAGGAAGTACGTGCTGTTAGGAAACCCTGGGCTAGGCAGAGGTAAGATAAAAATGACTAAGATGGAGTCTTTGGCTCACTTAAAAGTAGGTGAAACAGATATAATTAATTACCTTATCATGTGGAGGTGGCAAGTGATAAGATAGATATATGCCCAGAGTGCTATAGAAACCACCACCAGGGGACCTGGGAAGTCTTCTTGGAAAAAGTTTACACTTGTGAGAAAGGTTTTCTTGGAAAGAAATGAGGCATGAGCAAAGGCTCAGAAGTACTGAGAATACTCAGAAATACTTTTCCCTTTCATTTTCCTTCCTCTCACCCTTTCTCTTGTCCTCTTCTTCCATCAGAAATACTCAGCCTTTGCTCAGTATTGACCAAATCATTCATTCTAGTCTACCATGATTGCATGGAAAACGACCATCAGATGACCAGATGCAATGCAATATACTAGGGTCCTTGCAGGCTACAATTAGCTGGATCATAAGTAGCAGTTTCTACAATCAAGTAGATCACAACATACTGCAGTAGGGGTGGTATGCATGTGGATAAGAAAAAGGGCAAATTAAGATTTTTATGAGTTCTTCAAGCCACAGGCCATAGGAATTTAGGGGAGAGAGGTTGCCTCTACTGTGGTGATCTGATAAGGCCTGATGAGCTCCTCACTCAAGCTGAGTCATGAAGGATGGGAAGAATCTCAACAAGGCAGATCAAACAGAAAATGGGAAAGGTGTGCCAGACAGTGGGGAAAGTACTGGAGAATGGAGAAAAAGCCCTTTGGTTTCAGCATATTTGCCAGAGAACTCACTTTTTTATGAAAGAGAAAGAGAAAGGAAGCCGGACTAAGAATGCCCTTCACATATGCTAGTCCATTCTCTGAGAAGGCTCACCAGGCTCCCTGCCTACTTGCTGTTCTCCAGCATAAGTAACTTGGTGGATGCTGTGGTGGATCCAGTGAGCTGGATCAGTTGAAACTATTTGTTGCCAGACTTGAATGACATTATGGGAAAGAACTTGTCCTTTGCAAATAAACTGGTTTCTCTGCACTGATAATGTATCTTTATTTTTTTTTTTCTTGTTTATCTTCTAGTGAAGTTTCCTTAGTAAAGAATGAAAGGAGGGGCCAGCCAAATAGCTCAGCAGATTAAAGTGCCTGCAAGTAGGTGCAGGGGCCCAGGGTTCAATCCCCGGGCCTGCCAGCCCTGCTCCCAAGGCACGCTGAGGTGTCAATTGAGACTGGGCATGGTGGCTAGTGGTGAGTGCTTGTAATCCCAGCTCCTGGGAGGCTGTAAACAGATGAATCACTACAAGTCCAATCTAGTAATGAAATCCTGAGTACCATGTAGACCCTTCCCTAAAATACAAAAAATGGAAGAAGAAGAAGAAGAAGAAGAAGAAGAAGAAGAAGAAGAAGAAGAAGAAGAAGAAGAAGAAGAAGAAGAAGAAGAAGAATTAAAGGAGCATATCCATAGCTAGGCAACTGTTGATTTGTTGTCCAAGAGTTGGGTGCTTGTAGACACTAATATCTTTTTTTCCTTCCTCTCTCCCTTTTTCTTTTCCTCTCTCCTTCCCTCCCCACTCTCTTGGTACTGGGGCGTGAACCCAGGGCCTTCACATTGAACTACATTTCCAACTCCCTGTCTACTCTGAAAGAAGGTCTTGCTGAGTTGCTCAGGCTAGGCTTGAACTCTCAGTCCTCCTGCCTAAGCCTCCCAGAGTGCTGGGATTACAGGTTTGCACGCCATACCTGGATTAAGACCAATACTATTTCTACGAGTGGAACAACCCGAAACATAATTATCCATATATGGATCTTGATTAAAAATGTAACAATCTGGGCCCCTGTGTCAGCCCTGCTATACTGGAATCCCTAGGAATGGGGCCCAAGTGTTTTCATTTTTAATGTTTTTCTTTTATTTAAAGTGATCTAAATTATTGAATTATAATTTATATGCAACAAGAAACACTCACTGCGAGTACGCCATTCAGTGAGCTCTGACAAACTCGTGTACTCGTCACTATAATAAAAACTGACATCATTGCAAAAAGTAAGCTCACGCTCCTTTGCTGTCAATGCCTCTCATCCACAGCCCAAGTTAATGACTGATCTGCTTCCTGTTAACAAATGTTAGTTTCAGATGTTACAGAATTCAATATTAATAAATATCGTATAGATCATGTTTTTGTGTCATTTTAGCCCAACATGTTTTTGAGGCTCATCCATCATATTACAAATATTGCTGGTTTTTTGCTTTCTTATTTCTGAGAGTATTCACAATAGATAGACCGTAGTTTCTTTTTCTATTTATTTATTGTGTGTCCATGACCACTGTTGATGATCATTGTGTTTGTTTTCAGGTTCTGGTTATTTTGGATAAGAACAAATCTTTGTGCAGACATAGGTTTTCATATGTTTTGTCAAGAGTAAAAGTCTATAACTGGAATTAGTAGATTGTGTGAAATTATATGTTGAACTTACTAAACTGTTTTTCACAGAGGTTGCACTATTTTTACTTTCATCAGAAATGTTTGAGGTTCAGATGTTTTTCTTTCATACTAACATTTGATATCATCATTCCCTTTTTATTTTATCAAACTGAGTAGGTAAGTACAGTGTATGATTTCCCCCCATATGGGGATTTAACCCAGGGCCCCTGCACTCAACTACAGATAGCTCTTTTATTCTGAGGCAGGGTCTCCCTAAGTGCCTGGATTGGGCTCAAACTTTCAATCTTCTTTGCTCAGCCTGAAAGAGTGCTGGGAATACAGGTGTGCACCGTCACACCCAGTTCAATATGGTCTTAGTATTGTTTTCCTGATGACCAATGCTGTTGAGCCTCTTCTCATGCACTGCTTTGTCACTTGTGTGTCCATGACCACTGTTTCAATTGAGTTCCTTGTTCTCTTATTGAATTGTTAGCGTTCTTTACATATTCTGGAAAACAATATTTGTTAGATGTAATCAATTGCAACTATTATTTCTCAGTGGCTTGCCGTGTGGTTTTAATAGTATTGATTTTGAAGAGCAGATCATTTAACTGTAATGAAAAATACACATTTTTTTGTTGTTGTTTGTGGTCGTGGTGTTTTTTCGTGTCTTATCAAAAACTCTTGACCAGGAAGACATAGTGGGATAATCCTAGTTACTGGGAAGCTGAAGCAAAAGGGTTGCAGCTAAGGCCAACCTGGGCAACCTAGTCAGAGCCTGTCTCAAAATAAAACCCAAAAGGGGCTTGGGCAGAGCACTTGCCTAGCATAAGCAAAGTCCTGGGTTCAACTCTGAGTACTGCAAACAAACAAACTAATACCAACTTCAGGGTCACTAACATGTTCTCCAATATCTTTGGAAATTTATAGATTTTTTTCCTTTATGTTTAATGTTGTAACCCAAAAATCAAAAACTGGACTCAACTTAAAAGCGCTTTAGTTAGCTGAGCTCAGTGGCGGCACGTACTCTCATCTCCAAGTATGTACCCTCTTAGTCTAGGTGAGGCACAGTTTTTAAAGGGAAAAACCACAAGAGTAGGGGGAGGAGGGGGGATTTTACAAAGCTTATTTTGAGTTAGTCATGACCAAGGGTTAACTCTTTGTTCCCATAGATGAGGTCACATTTTGCAAACCCTACGGGAATATGACCTTATTTGGCTTAGGCGTTGTTTTTGTTCCCGTAGTCGGAAGGACATCTGATGAGTTTCACCCATTTTCAAGTAATCTGTTTGTTCCCATAGGAAGGACAGTTTAACTCATTTTGCAGAATGTTGAGGAACATTTCTTATCTTCTCTCAGAATGCTGAGAAACTCTTATTTGTACAAACAGCCACATTCTTCAGGGAAGGCATGGGTGGGGGGTTTACAAAACAAATCGAGGTTTTACAAAACAGAAGTTGCAAAGCTTGTTATAAGATGGATTTTAAGTTGTCATCTTATACCAAATAGTCCTTGTTAACACCAAATAGTCCTTGTTAATAAAGTTACAGTGGAAACATACAGAGTTACAAAATTGGAATCAATTGCACAGGTTATAACATTTAAGTCTGTGATTCGTGTTAGGTTAATTTTTGTGTTTGGCATGAAGAGTCAGACTTCATTTTTTTCTTAAATGTTTGACAAAATTTACCAGAAGTCATCTTAGTGTGAAGGGTTTTTTGGTTTGTTTGTTTTGTCTTGTTTTGTTTTGTTTTTG